GTCCCTTGCAGTCATTTTCCTTTTTGACGTTCAGGTTTTCCCACCTTTGGTCAGTGGAATCTTGTTCAAGTTAGGTCCAGTCTCCTTTCAACATGACCCTAAATTGTTTGTAATTTCCTTGCTTTCCAATATGACAAAATAGATAGTCCAGATTAATTTTACATGGCTCTTGCCCAAGACCTGAAATCAGCCACCTACTCAAGAAACCCTCATTCTTTTTAATGGGAAATGTTACATAGGGACCACAATCTGGGCACAATAGGTGTTTATTGTTATCGGGTTGTCACTACAGGTCTTTCAATGGATGGGACCATGAAATGTGTATTTTAGAATGATAAAGGTAAGTTCTGATTATATATATTGGCATGTTAACTAAATTTAACCTAGTGTTTTTACTTTTATATTTAATCTCTTTTCTCTTTTGCTGAAATCATGCTTTCTAATAACTTTCTCCCTCTTTCCCTTTTTCCCCTTTCAATCTCTCTCTCTCTCACATTACCATTATGAAATAGAATTTCAAACTTCTTTGTGCTCATTTCATCCTTAGGTTATATCTTACTGAAGACATACAGTTCAAACATTGTGTTTAAATGTAACTTTAAATAAGCATTCTCCCCATTTTTGTGGAGAATCACATTATGCCACTAATAAAATATATACATGGCTCCAAACTTAGAACTATAAAACAAGGCGTATTGGAAAGATCTAGGTTCCACCATTATTTAATCCTTCATATCCTCTTCCTTCTCTAAGATAACTAATTTTATTAGATTTGGTGTTTACTTCTAGTTTATAAAAAATGCACACATACATACATGCACATGTGTACCCCAAAAAGGTAGCAAAGAGTATGCAATACCCTGAACTTGACATTAAAATTTTTTATTGTAGTAAAATATACATATGAAACTTATTTTAGCCATATTTAAGTATACAATTCAGTGCATTCACAATGTTGTGCAATCATTATCACACTATTAATTTTCAGAACATTGTCATCATCTTATATGGAAACTCTATGAAGTCAAGTGGGCCTTAGGAAGCATCACGCGAACAAAGCTANTGCTTATTTAACTTATAGGCAGAGTACATCATGCAAATTCCAGGCTGGATGAATCATAAGCTGGAATCAAGATTGCTGGAAGAAATATCAACAACCTCAGATGTGTAGATAACACCACCCTAATGGCCGAAAGTAAAGAGAAACTAAAGAGCCTCTTGATAAAGGTGAAAGAGTAGAATGAAAAAGCAGGCTTAAAACTCAACATTCAAACAACAAAGATCATGACATCCAGTCCTATCACTTCATGACAAATAGAAGGGGAAAATTTGGAAGCAGTGACAGATTTTATTACCTTGGTCTCCAATATCACTTGCAGATGGTGACTGCAGACAAGAAATTAAAAGACTTTTGTGTCCTTGGAAGGGAAGCTGTGACAAATCTAGACACTATATTAAAAATAGACATCACTTTGCTGTTGCATAGTCAAAGTTATAATTTTTCTAGTAATCATGTATGGATGTGAGATTTGGACCATAAAGAAAGCTGAGCACTGAAGAATTGATGCTTCTGGAGAAGACTCTTGAGAGTCCCTTGGAGAGCAAGGAGATCAAACTTGTCAATCCTAAAGGATTAAGCCTGAATATTCATTGGAAGGACTGATGCTGAAGCTGAAGCTCCAATACTTTGGTCACCTGATGTGAAGAGCTGACTCATTGGAAAAGACCCGTATACTGGTAAAGATTGATGGCAGGAGGAGAAGGGGATGACAGATGATGAGATGATTGAATGGTATCACTGACTCAGTGGACGTGGGTTTGGGTGAACTCCGGGAGTTGGTGATGGACAGGGAGGCCTGGTGTGCTGCGGTTCATGGGGTCGCAAAGAGTTGGACACAACTGAGCGACTGAACTGAACTGAATACCTATTAAATAGTGATTCCTTATCCCCTTCTCCCACCTCAGTCCTTGGTAACCTTTATTATTCTTTCTGTCTCAATTCATTTCCTTATCAATGTGCACTTTTGTTTGTTTTTTGTTGGATTGTATATCTAGGGGTCACTCATAGATGTTTAGAGTGACCCTCATTCATTTTTTAAAGCTGTATAGTATTCTACTGAATAAACTATATTCAACCAGTTCTTTATGGATGGGAACTTTGTATTTCTAATCTTTTGCCATTATAAATAGTGTTTCAATGAGCAGACTACAGCATTCGCCATTTAATTTTTTCACTTTTATCTTTTAAATACATTTCTAAATGTGGAATTGGCAAGTCTAAGGATAAATGCATATGCAATTTTAGAACATTTGGATTTGATATGATAGACACAAATAAACCACAGAACTATTTAAGTATTAATTAGAAACCCACTTAACAGGGTTAAATGTTTAGAAAGTATGATTAAAACTGCTATAACCCAAGAGATACTTTATTTAGTTCTTTTAGTTAAAATGAATTTGTTTGAAGGACAGCGCATGATGAATCCTCTATTGCTGTCTTTAAGTTCTTTGGATTTGAATAGATTGGTGTTGCCTCTACTTTTTCTTATGCCTTATGAGAACACTGTTAAGAAGTGATACTATGTTAAAACTCTTTGCCTGACTACAGTGGGGGAAAAAAAGAGGGGGTTATACCAATTCTCAGAGAATTTTGGCCGCCAAGTAGTACATCTGGGCAATTTGGGCCAGGAAAAAAATTGTTTAGGTACAAAAATCTTTAAAGTTAGTTTCTCTAGGCCTGAATAATCCAGACTTTGCTGTCTCGTACTGTTTCCTAAACCATACTTGAATGGCCAGTCCCAGTTTTCAGGGATGTTTGATTTTTAATTATGAAATGATGACAGACGACTAGGGCGTCACATAAATATCATAAAAGCAGAGCCACAAAGGAAGACCCCCAAATCGGGTGAGCATAGAGGCACGCCTACAGGTCCAGAGGGCAAGTGGCCAGCCAGTCTGGATGCATCAATTGTTAGAGTTTAATCATTAATCAAGAGTCCAAACCGGGAACCGGGGATATGTCCCAAGACTCATTTACCCACCCTGCCTGTTCCCCCTAAACACATTTCAGGGGCTCTAACTTTCTCTGGCTGCAAACTCACGCAGAGTCCTGGCAGGGCTCAACCCGGAGCACACCCCCGGCACGGACTCCCCAGGACCGCGGGCCTGCAAGTTGCCGAGGTCCCCCCGCGGCAGCTCGAGCTCCCTCTTGGAGGCGGAGGGCGCCTTTCAATCCGGAAACGCCCAGCCCCTCTGCGGGTTCCGCAGACTGACGCCGCTCCCGGTGGGGAGGTGGGGGTAGGAGGGCGATGGGGAGAGCTCGGCCTCCTGCTCGGATTGAGGTTGCAGCCAACTCCCGCGCGAGTCTATTCCTGCTTGCCTGAGACTCCTTCAACCCCGGGCCTGGGTCCGGGTCCCTAAAGCAGGACCCGTTCTCATCCTCAACCTTGTGGCCTCTGCCCGGCGGGGAAGTTCAGCTGCGAGTCTAGCCAAGCCAGGCGCATTTAGGGACCCCCTGGTCCGTGGCCCGGCGAGGGCGGAGGAGGAGGGAAGGGGCTGCTGCCTTCTTTCCCAAATCCGGTCCCTNCTCCCCCAGCCCCTGGCCCCCCTTGTTCCTCCCCACCCCGTCGCCCCCTTACTCTGTCTCCGCCCACTCTGCGCCAGCCCCTCGGTCAGGGCTGCGCCCCACGTGTGGACGGCGGCGCTCCAGCCCCCACTGACAGCCGCCGCCCGCCGGCCCGCCCAGCGCCCCGCCGGGCCTCAAAACCCCCGCGCCGCGCCCTCGCCCGCCGCATCTTCCCCGGCGTCCAGTCTCCCGCCCTCCCTCTCACCGGCGGCTCGCCCCGGCCCAGCGCACCTCCGCCCGGCTCTTTAGCCGCCGCCGGCGCGTCGCTGTCCCGGGGGACTCCGGGAGAGCCCCGAAAGGACCCTCCACTTGTTTGGGGGGGCGACTTTTGTTTGCTTTCCGGCTTCTTTCTGGTGACTTTTGCAGCTTTCCAAGATCTGTGCCCGGAGCGCACGGGAATCCGCAGAGTCGCTGCGTTCAGGCCTTTTTTTTTTTTTTTCCTTTTGAGGTCCGCTTTCTTTGTAACTTTACGCCGCGGCTGCTCGGGTTACTTTTGTAATTTCCCGCCCCCACCCGCTGGCGGTCCTGGAGTCGCTCGGGGCAGCGGCCCGGGGGATGCAACGTGGACCGCGCGGGGCTGCCGGCCGCTCTGCCGCCGCGCCTCGCCGCCCGCTGCGCTAGAACCCGCACCCCGCTGGCAGCCAGGCGGCCGGCGCTGGGTCCCGGGCTCCCGCTAGAGCAGGGAGCCCGAACACACGCGAGTCTCCGGGGCCGACGAAGGGCTTGTTAGACCTGACTTTTTTCGGGCCGCGCAGATTTTGTCTTTGAGCGCTCCCTCTCAGCGGACCAAGGTCCGCGCGCCCGTAGCGCGCGCGATGGGGAGACGGCGGCGGCTGTGTCCCCAGCCCTACTTCGTGTGGCTGGGCTGCGTGGCGCTTTGGGCGCAGTGCACGGCCGGCCAGCCCCAGCCCCCGCCGCCCAAGGCGCCCCGGCCCCAGCCGCCACCGCAACAGGTCCGGCCCCCAGCGGCGGGCTCTGAAGGCGGGTTCGCGGTGCCCGAGTACCGGGAGGAGGGCGTCGCGGCAGCTAGCCGCGTCCGCAGGCGAGGACAGCAGGACGTGCTCCGAGGGTAGGTGGACAGGCGACGCGGTGGCGGGAGGGGGGACCTCGGCTTGGCAGCTTTCCATCCCAGAACCTAGTTTCCATCCCTCCCAGAACCTAGTTCTGTGGCTAGAGCCGGGGCCCCCTTCCACCAGTAGACCCCGAAGAGTCCACGAAGCGCCTCCTCCTCTTCCTCCTGCCGGCAAAAAAAAAAGAAAGAAAGAAAGAAAGAAAAACCCTCCCTCGAGGGTTTGTCGGCGGGTGAGTTGGAGGCCTCTGGGTGAGGATCGCTGAGCGCCTGCGGAGCCAGCTGTGCGGGAACCAGTCCCGAATGTCTGGCGGAAGGCGCGCCTCAGTGCGCCCCGCGCCGCGCGGGGGCCGGTGGAGCCTGCCTGCGCCCCACCGTCGGGGGCGCAGCTCCGAGCCTTTTGTTTGAGGACTTGTGCGGGGCTTTCAGCTCCGTCTAATCTTCAGGCCCAGCGCTCCACCTTCTGACACGCCATCCTTGACACGTCGGGGCCAAAGTAACAGTCGATCAAGGAGGGATGGATTTGGGGACGGGGACAAGGATTTTTCAAACGGAGTGTTCCCTTTGTTCTCTACATCCGGAGGCTAGAATGGTAGCAAATTATATGTTTCCCTGTTTCTTTTCTCTCTTTTTAAAGAGCAGCAACTGAGGGTAGATGAAAGGCAGTGTTTAGACGTTTCTGATCCTTCCCCATTTCAGTGTCTAGTCCATTCACTTCCACGTCTGAGCCCCAAGCCACAGCAGTTTGACGTGTAGTTTGGGTCCTCCGTAAAGCTTAGGGAAACCTCTAATGTATTACCACATCCCTGTCTCAGTGTGTGTGATTTCACTTGTGTCTCGCAGGCCCAACGTATGCGGATCCAGGTTCCACTCCTACTGCTGCCCCGGATGGAAGACGCTCCCAGGAGGAAACCAGTGCATTGTCCGTGAGTGCTAGGCTGGGATCGCAGCTTGGGGCGGCCCGCTCGGCCCCATCCCAGGGCGGACCTTTTGCATTCAGTGGTTTGGACACTGCGTTTATAATCCGGTGGCCACTAGTAATGATTAGGGGTGACCCCATTTGAATGGTGGGGAAGAAGCAGCCGATTTGCATCAGTTTAGACTTCACTTCTAGACTGTTGAAGGGCAATAATGATAAAGGTTTCAGAGATAACTTGAAAGTTTTATCTTTCTATGTCTATTAATACAAACTCGAAGGGAGAGCGCAGCAATTCCCCAGATAACCTCAAACCACTTCTTCCTGAAAGTTCTCAGATAAGACCACAAGGTGATTATGTAAATGATCTGCCTTTTGACTCCGCAGGAGGTGTAGACCTTCTGAAGATCAGGCTTTCTTAGGTTTTATCTCTGGTTTCATCTTAGCAGCCACATAACATAGATAAGAAAGGAGCCCTCTCAGAGATTTGGCGTTGACCCAGGTTAACAGAAGTTTTAAAAGAGAGAACTCTTCCACATGGCTTGACTTTTAAGACATTTACATTTAGGATTTCCAGACCCCAGATCTCATAAAGTACAGTAGATTTCCAAAGTGTGAGCCTTAGAACTTCAGAAGTTTTGCATGTCTGACCTTTGATGTTTTGATTATTTTATTCCATTTCCAAAGTGTGTAACCAGTTCTCCACGTTTTAATTGGATAAGTCATTAGTTACCAGCTTCACTGTGGTGGACTGTGGGATGTCTTATTTCACATGCCTGTGAAATTGTGAGTTAAAGTGTGACTGGCCTTTTCTTGTGTATTTATATAGCACAGCCACATTTGTCTTGTTGGGAGGAGAGCCAGGTATGGTAGACAGCACGTTTATTTAGAGCCAATCTTGACTTTAGATTGACCTCGATGTTTTCCAGGGAGAAGATAATGATGCCATATGAACAGAGAAAAAGGGCAAGCCACACTACCCAAGGGATAATAAGGATGTAGTGGCCTCTCTGACTCTATAGTTATTGGTTTTGTGGGTTCAGATAGACCCTTAATGTTATTTCTGTGCAGTTTTTTAAAAGGCATGACATCTTAAGTGTTGTGAATATTAGCTTCTTATTTTTTCTACCCTAAAAGTCTCACAATACCTGGTAATGAAGCAAAAATAGGAAGCAACAACTGTGTTCTTTAGGATGATTCATAAACATATTAAATAAACCCTCTGATTATAAGCCTTTCCTTTTATTAAAAGGAATGGGAGGGTATTGGATTCCTTTCCCTGCAGCACAGAAGTCATATATGGGAGGCATTTGTGGAGGGTACATTTACTTTTTCAGATCAGTAGGGCGTTACCGTGCCTGCTTTAAACTTACGTGGCTCCTAGAATCCTGAAACAGCTAACGTCACTCACCACACACCTGCCATACTAGCCGGGAGTGACTTAGGCACTGCGGAAAGTCTGACTCACTGAATGTAATGAATGTGGCTGCCATTATTGAGTTGGAGAGCAGCCGAGGAGAAACGATTGGTTTATGGTACGTGTTGAAAATCTGTAAAGTCAGATTTTATTGGATCAGTGTGGAATGGGAATTCCAGAGAACAGAGCCTTCTAGAATATTTGCAGTAGGGAAAAAAATGTATATGTGTGTGTGTGTGTGTGTGTGTGTGTGTGTGTATATACATATATATATAATCCTCTGAGTGTCAGCCTTAAACACTTTTGGTCTTTGAGTAACATTGTGCCCTCTAACTGTTTAGAAGATCAGCTTTGGAAATCTCAAAGTAACAGTGAATATTGTAGCCTTCATTTCTACANGGAAGATCCCCTGGAGGAGGAAATGGCAACCCACTCCAGTATTCTTGCCTGGAGAATCCCATGGACAGAGGAGCCTGGCGGGCTACAGTCCATGGGGTTGCAAAGAGTGGGCCCTGAGCATGCAGGAACACATAACAGTGGTTACAAAGGGGAGAAGAGGGGAAGGGGCAAATTGAGTGTATGGGATTAGCACATACAAACTGTTATATGGGAAGTAAGAAACAAGGGTATGTTATACAGCAAAGGGAATTTTAGTCATTATCTTGTAATAACATAATGGATAATGGAGTGTAATCTGCAAAAATACTGAACCACTGTACTATACTATACGCCTGAAACTAGTATAATATTGGTAATCAATTAGACTTCAGTAAAAAAAAGAATTTTTATCCCATGACTTTCTTACGATAACAAATTATTTATTATATTTATTGACTTTCCACCATATAGCAGAAGAAAAGCTCTGCTTAGAAAAAGAGAATAAGTAAAACACAAATAGAAAAGGAGGACCAAAGATTAATTTCCTGATATATTTGTACATCAACATTTTTTCTTTATAGAAAAATATTATAATGATCAACTCCTAGAATTTTAATCTGGTTGGCCTTGACCAGGCTTCATGAGAAGATATTAAAATAAAAATATATTTCTCAAACTACTGGAAACCTAATGCATTTTGAGTTGAGTCTGTGTTTTGTTGTTATTGTTCTTAATTATGGCCTGCGAAAATCACTGAAGTATTTCCAAACTTCCAAATATTTGTTTCCAAAACGATGAGATTGACTTAGTTTCCATTTGTTTTTTCTTTAAATTCTTGTTAGGACATGAAGCAATGGAAAAGTTTGCTTATTAATTCTTCATTGTTGTTGTTGTGAAATTGTGCTATGAAGAGCATGTTGATCAGTGGAAAAACAGTGGGAAGGGGTTGGCCCACAACCGTACCGTTTGAGACCTGAAGAGACATCAGAACATTCCAATATAATCCCTTTGTTTTATTTTACCAATGAGAGCACTAAACACAGAGAAGCTGTGGGTTTTCTCCAAGCTTGCAGTGGGTCAATGGCAGAGCGGGAGCTCAACCTCAGACCTCTTGCATGGTACCATTCATTTACTCTCCTCTGTTGACTTGAGTCTTCTCCCAGCATCACTGAAATCCCAACACCCAGGTCCTCTCTACATCCCTCTCTGGTATTTCTGGGCCTCATTTTTTTTTCCCCCCAATTGTGGTAGGGACAGATACTTAGATGAGATATACTATAGTTTGATATGAGTGTGAAGAGAAAGAGCCTGAGCATTCTGCTTTTCATGGGTTCACAGATGTAGTGGGTATCTGCGGCCACGATAGGGATCTGTCTGAAGATGACCAGTCTCCAGTCCATCAGATCTTCTTTGGGTTTAGGACCTGGGAAGGGGCACTTGGTATATAACCTAAGCCTAAACTAAATGTCTTTGGAGTAAACTGTGAGAGATAGTGAAGGATAGGGAAGACTGGTGTGCTGTAGTCCATGGCATCGCAAAGACTTAGACACGACTTAGCGACTGAACAACAAAACTGAATGTCTTCTTGCTGCGAATGAGGGGGCTTTGAGATAAAACAGTATTTTAATAAACTTTTGTCATTGGAAAGTTATTGGTGATCAGTAAGTCCAGTACATTTTAAGAATAGTCAACTCCATGGCAGGAGTCTTGTTTGTGCCTAAAATCGTTTTTTACTTTTACTCTGTGATCTAGGACATCCTCATTGTACTAATGGAGATGCAGGCTGTATTATGTGGGTGTCAAAGGCAATTTGGAGAAGCAAAACAATTATTGAATTAGTTTACTTCTATAAAACACACCCTTTACAATATGTACTGAGGGGGTCTCATATCTCTTTGAAAATTGTGAGACTCCTCGCTAGCAGAAGATAGGTACACACAGTTACATACATATGTACAGCTAGTTTCAGGACATTCCCATACTCTCCTCTTCCTGTCTTCATCCATCCATTCATGGAGCATTAATGGAGCATTAAAACACTTGCCTGATGCTTTGCAGAGAGAGAATTCAGTTGTGGGTATAGAGATAAATCAGCTCCTAAATGAAACTTACTCTGTATGGGAGAGACTTCCCATTTGAAGGCTACTGATTTTGAAGATCGGTGGTATGTGCTGTGTCAGTGAGCCTAACATTCTTTGCTCTGATGACCCTCATACCTTCGAGGTCACAGCTGCAGGAGGCTTTGACTCTCCCTTCATCAAAATGTCGCAGCAGCTTTTCTGAGCAGCAGGAATAGGCTAGGTTGTGGAGGTAATACGGGAGAAGAACGGCTGGAGGAAGGAGAAAGAGAATTATTAAGGGGAACAAAGATTGATGATGGGGCAGGTCAGATACCAGCCGGGAAGGAATGTGTATGGAACCCCTGGGGCTTGGCCAAGTCGTTAGAGCGTGGAGTCTCCAGCTCAGCCAATTTCACTTTCTCTGTCTCCTGTGAGGGTCCTTTACAGACTGGGCTGTGTTTTCTGAGGGTACACAAGACGTCTGGGTTTCCTCAGCTCTCCTCGCTTCCTAGGATCAAGTCTGTCTTCTCATGGTGAATTCTGAATATAAGCCCTCTGCCTTGAATGGAAAAGATGACCCATACTGATAAAGAGTTGAACAGTTAAGATTATGGAAATTAAAGTAGCTTCGCTTGTGTGCATTTTTATCATAAGGATACTTAAGAGACTCATTCACTTGTCTACAGTGGGTACTTTTGTTGCGTATCTACAATTAGGCATTATATATAGCACGTATTTTTATGTCTTAGTTTTTCAGCTTTATTGTTTTTAACTATAGCTTCCTTGGTTTGTAGTCAGTAGCTTATTACCTTTTTGTTCACACGTTTCCCTGTTGTGCTTTCCACAGCAATTTGTAGAAATAGTTGCGGAGATGGATTTTGTTCACGTCCTAACATGTGTACTTGTTCCAGCGGCCAAATATCACCAACCTGTGGATCAAAATCAAGTACGTTTTTCGTATGTGACCTTATTTACTGCGTTATCTGTAAGTTATCTTTTGAATAAATGGTAACTGTCCTTTTCAATGAGGCTGTGGACCCACGATTATTTTCTGCGCTAACTAGGTCAGTACTAACCTTTGGAGTAAAAACCTTTGGTGGCTTAGCTGTTGCCAACAACAACTGGGAGCTAATGGGGTGGTGGTGAAGAAAAACGATTTCGTACTGGTCCAGAAGATACGCGTCTACTGAGTGAAAGAGCCTGGATTTAGTGAGAAGTAATTCTTTGTAATAGCTGGAATTTACTGTGTTTTTACCAGTGCTTATTCCAGGTACTAAGTGTTTGACTATATCATTGTATTTAATTAAGCCTCACATGACTACAATGAGATACTATTATTACCCTATTGTCAGAGAAGGACATAAGTTTTAGCTCACCCAAAGTAAGATAGATTTGAATCCAGGGATTCTGATGCCCAAGTCTGTAGACTCAAATCCTCAGCTTTATTTATTGCCTTTGCTTAACTCCTGTGTCTCGTATACTGTTTTGTGGGTTAACTAAAGGGGAAGGAGAAGAGCACTGAGATGATAACAAATACTTATTGGGTACTGATCAGATGTTTTACATATATTAACTTATTTTGCTTTACACATACTAACTCCCAACAGCTCTGTAAGATCACTGTAACAGTGGACTAAAATTGTGCTTTACATGACCTAAGGAGGAATTGTTGGGTCTTTAAGGTCCAAGATCAATCTTTTAGGACAGTATTTAAGGTAATGTTTTATAGCCAAGTAGAAGCAGTTATTATTTATGTAATTGCTCAGTAATTAATACTTATCTACCTCAAACTAATATGAAGTTGTTATATTTTTAACATTTCTTTCTATAAATTTTTCCTAAGTAAAAGTAATAGATAATCTGTCTGATTGAGGAATATAAGATTCAAGATTCATACGACAAATGTCATTGTCTCATGATGAAACTTTGATTAGCGCTCTAGTTTCATTTTCTTTTAAAATATCATGTAATTGTTTAAATCTTCCAAAACCCATTATGTAGAATTTCTCAAGACTTTCTTGACCACCCTGAATACCGTTTTCCTCCACTACTGTCATATCCTTCCCTCTGACTGCCTAGAAGATACCATTCCCCATATCTTCGTTATTCTCTTCTCTTAGTTTTCTCAAATATACCCTCAGCAAAACACCCAATCCTGGAGAAACTTTTTATAATTCAGTTTTTTTATTCCTCTAGTGGGACAGCTGAAGAATCATTGGCTGACCTTCAGTTTGTGGTATATAATTTAATAGGAGAATCCCTGAGTCATTTGGCCTTGAGTTATACTGGCTGCTTTTCCATCAGGAACTTTTTTCTCCTCTCTAGTCCTCATGGTGATCCAACTTCACAAAGCATTTAGCACCGTTAATCACTATTTCTTGAAATGCTCTCTTTTCCCTTCGCTTATATGAAAGTAATGGCTCCCAACACTCCTTTTATTGATGATTTTTTCTTAGTGTCCTTTCTGTATCCCCTTTATTAGCCTTACATTCACAGTTAAGTATTCCCAAAGTTCTGTCCTCCCTAGGTGAACTCATTTACATATATGTCTTCAACTACTGCTAATACGGGCCTTCCTAGGTGATGCAGTGGTAATCCACCTGCCAGTGCAGGAGATGCAAGAGACTTGGGTTTGATCCTTGGGTGAGGAAGATACCTGGAGAAGGAAATGGCAACCTACTCCAGTATTCTTGCCTGGAGAATCCTCATGGACAGAGGAGCCTGGCAGGTCCTCTGTCCATGAGGTCACAAAGAGTCACACACGACTAAGTGACTGGGCAAGCACTAACCAATATGTTGCTAACTTACAATGATTATCTCTAGAGCAGATCCATCCACTGGGCTTCATATTCACGTGTCCCATTTCCTACTGGACATCTCCACTTGAATGAGTAGTAGGCATCCAAAACTGTGGCATGAGACTCTTGATCCGTGGCTGACAACGGTCTGTTTCTTCCACAGTTGCCATGGTCCCAGGAAATAGCACTGAACTCAATGCCTTGCTATCATGATGGGCTTGGTACCCACTGTCACGGAGCTTACATTCCTGTAGACAGACAGACAAGACACAAGTACACAAACACCACAGTGTCATTATAGATTGTGATTAGTTCTTGGAAGGAAACCTGGCTGTGAAGAAGAGGCTGGAACCAAGGAAGAACATAGACACGAGAGCTAGACAAAATCGTGCTGATGCGTGCAACGTGACATTGGAGCTGAGTTCAGAAGGACTAGGATGAACCAAGTAGGGATCTTCACAGGGCGAGGAAGTAGCAAATCAAAACATCTTTCTTCCACTTGAGAAACTAAAAGATTCATGTGATGACAAAGAGACAGGTTGGGAGGAGAAGATCTCAGAGAAGCGGACAAATCCAGATAGATTATACATGGCTGCCTCGGTCATGNCAGTGGACGTGAATTTGAGCAAACTCCAGGAGATAATGAAGGATAGGGAAGCCTGGTGTGCTGCAGTTCATGGGGTCGCGAAGAGTTGAACATGACTGACAGACTGAGCAACAAATCTGGTGCAGCATCTTTTTTTATTCCGATATGTTTGTGTAGTAGTAAGTGATGCGAAGAGTTGACTCATTGGAAAAGACCCTGATGCTGGGAGGGATTGGGGGCAGGAGAACGGGACGACAGAGGATGAGATGGCTGGATGGCATCACCGGCTCGATGGGCACGAGTTTGAGTAAACTCCGGGAGTTGGTGATGGACAGGGAGGCCTGGCGTGCTGCAGTTCATGGGGTTGAAAAGAGTCGGACACGACTGAGCGACTGAACTGAACTGAACTGAAGTAATGATAATTTCAGATTTGACTTAGGTCAGACTGTTTGTACCTATGTTGAGTGGTCCAAGAGTCTGTCTGATAAAAACAGACACTTGTCATATTTCTGAGTAGAGTAGGTGCTCAGTAAATATTTACTGAATAAAAATATTCAGACTTCAGCAGTCATGATCAGGGTTCTGTTTCACAGTCTGACCATCTTGAAATAGGGCTTGCTTCTCCCTTTTCCCCAGATCACAGTAGGCAGTTCATACTTCTTCCCATAGTCTTTTTCTCCCCCGCGTTTTGCTTTGTCCCACACTAGGTGTAAGTACTTTTTCCTCTTCCTGTGTGGTCAGCATTCTTTCCATGGTGGAAATTTAGGCTTACACAAGTTTCTTTTCAACTCCAGTTGAGAGGTAACATTTGTTTCTGTCTTGTTTTGTTACCAAAAAATTACTTTTTAAAGTAACTTCCATCATAATTCATTCAAAAGAAGGGAATTGCTTCTTTTATCCCCTTTGGTCCACTTTTATCTGTCTTGTCTGCTTCCCTTCTTGGCTGCTGCTCTTCAGTGTAAACTTTGGCTGCTACAGAGCAAGTCATGTTTTCCACACAGACCCTTTTCAGTATAAAAAGGAAGGGGAGTTGAGATTGTAGAACACCTTCATCTGTAGCCACTGTGCATTTTGTTTTTTACACCATTTTATCTTCAAACTATTAGCTCTGCTTTACAGGCAGGGAAGCTGAGAATTGAAAGATGATGTGATTGAGATGTGCTGAACACTGTGTTGTTCCACCTCCCCAAAAAGTGGGAAGAAGGCTGCAAGATTTTGACATATTGCAGGAGATTTTGAGAATCTTCAGTATATCAAATACTATAGCAAATGAAGGGATATGAAGACACCCTCCCTGCGGTCACTCTCCTGGAATCATGCTCTCTCATGAGAGCAGGAATAGAAGCAATGGCTGTATTGGCCTGCCTCATTCTTGTTCAGAGAAGCTCTTGATACTTTCTTCAGTTACTGAAGATGCCGAGGACCTTTTGTTTAAATGGGTTATACCTGCTGATATTTGCTGTATTAAAAATTAAAATTGAGAAATTAAAAAAACATTATTTCCTTTCAAGTAACAGAAAGCCATGTTACCTGTTAACATAATTTTTATGAATAATAACTATGTTTTCCACACCAATATAAAAAATTCGTGAGAAGAGAGGCATTGTTAATCTGACCTGTGTAGGTGAGCCTAGTGTTCATCTCTACTGAACCAGCCCTCTCAGGACATGCTCCAGGCTTATCCAGCCTCTTCTTCCCCCTGGAGAAGCATTTGGAAGCTCTGTCTTAGAAAACCCTGAGAGACGTCCTCCCTCCACCTCCCCAGGGATAGATCCTGAGGGTCAGTCATGGATGTGTTTTCCCATTCATGGTTTAAGGGCTAGCATATGTTTAATGAGGGACCATGTCTGGGACAGTGACTTTCATTTACATCTCTTACACCTTCACAGTATTTAAAGAAAATTCCTTTCCTTTTGATTAATTACATTAGGTGAGTGTTACTCATTTGCAGTATATCTTTAGAAATCAAAATATTCAAATACTTACACAGCTGTTTCTGTGAAATTATATCCCATGGAGAGTTTCTCCCTCTGTCTGTTGTCTAGAGTCTGCAATCTTCTTTCATATTTTAATCACCTTTAACCTATGAAAGTAGATTGTAGGTTCATAGAACTGAAATAGAGGATTAAATATTGTATTCTGACTGTATGATCAGAGTCAGCCAATTCTTGTGATTCTGATTTATAGAAAAAAAAACTTTACTGAATGATTGCATAGCAATGTGATTTATGTGAATTGTGGAGGTTTTAGTCTCAATATACAATGAAATATATTTATTTAAATGCATGATGTGACATGTTTTAGAGGTAAGATCCATTATTGGCTACATATCTACACTCCTACATTATACTTGGACTTTTACTGTGTAATGAGCTTCTTGCTGTGTTTGTGTGCAGCTGTCTGTGAAAATGGATGTCAGAATGGTGGACGTTGTATCGGACCTAACCGCTGTGCTTGTGTTTATGGATTCACTGGTCCACAGTGTGAAAGAGGTAAGAAGAGAAAAAAGAAGGCCCTTTTGGAGAAGTCTATCTTATTGTAAATATGTGTAATATTTTTATTACCCAATGAAAATTCTTATAATGAAACAATATTTTCATTCTTTGATTTTGTCTGTAACTTGCATGGTCAGATTTTGTGATGTAGCTAATAGCAGCTGAAGTATCTCAGTTTTTTCCACCAGAGCTACCTCAGTTTAGAAGGCCAGCTCTGGCGCTATGGCTGTGGGGTTATTTTGAGTGAGTGACTGGATGGCAAATTCTAATAATTTGGAGTTAATTCAAATTAGGAGTCACTGTTGGGAGCATTGCCTCTGTTAAAAAAAGATGTAAAGATGTAATATGTTCTTGGTTGCAAGACCTGCAAAAACCTGAAATAAATGAACCTAACCAACAAGGAAATGTATAACATTGCATAACAAAATGTCCAGAGTCAGTGGGCTTCAGGTAGAACATGATCAAGACTCATTCAGTTGTTCTACTTCTCTTTGGCCCTGCCTGCCTTTTTGTGTCGGTTTTGCCCTACCCACCAGTTCTGTATGGTTGTAAAATGACTGTCAGCTATAACTAATGCAACGTGCTTTCTTGTTCACATCTAGAGAGAGAAAACCTCTCCTCTAACTATGGGCCAGTAATAGTTATTTCCTATGCTGATCGGCTTAATCTTGAGTTTTTGAACCAATCACTGATAAGAGGAGTGGTATTAATATGTTCCGTGTAAACTTATCAGGACATATGTTAGGAGCAGGAGATGATGAAAGAGTCCCAGAGTCACCTGAAAGGGGGAGTTTGGTCTCAACCCAGTGGGAGTTGTGGTGGGCAGGAGAAAAGGGCTAGAGAATGGGTGCTGGCTGGGTTTCCATCTCTGTCCACCTTATTTGTGTAAACTGTTGGTCAAGCCCGTTTGAAACCGGTTTATCATAATTTAAGTAGCAGCAAAGTTTGTGACCTGTAGAGTACTGAAAATCCCCAATGTTGATGCAATACGTGAACTATTAGTAATGCTCATATATTGCAAAAGGGCATACCAAAGATCAATTTTATAAAATGTGATAAACAACTATTTACCACTGAACCATAAAAGTAAAATAAGCTTAAACTAAAATCAGTATTACATAATCGTTCATAATTACATACATGCTCAATTTACTTTTCCAGGACTTGTCATAGCATCTAAAGTTGTATAGTGCTTTCTCTGTTGTGAAACTTTAAGTATATGAAGTTATGTCATTGAAATGTTAAGAGATAAATAGTGGTGATGGTTTATGTATGTACAGAGGCTTTGAATTGCAAAGAAACCTTATGTTTTTCAAATTATATCCATTACACTGACAAAACTTAATCCTGGCATTCAGGTTAAAGCTCAAGAAGAAGCTGAGAAATTAGAATTATATGGTAAAGTTTGAAAAGTAAGATGTATGCAGCCTTTTAACATACACTTGTATGTATATGTACATTAAGATATTTATATTATTTCTGGGGTAATTGAGATTTCTTGGGACCGAAGTACATTCCACAGATGACAGAGTTTATAGTTATACTTAGGAGAAATTTAAATGTCTTCACCAGATGCTTTTATTTGGGGAAGAAAAATTAATTATGAAATGTTAGCATAAAGTGATAAGTTGTTGAGAATGGAATAAAACAAATTTCTGAGATGATGTTTATTTAAACACCATAGAATGGAAAAATAGTAAAATTTAAAATTTCAAACATAGTTATAATTGGTGGAGATGATGTTCATTTTTCTGGAGATCATGTAAACTTTTCAGTACTTTCATCCTAAAGCAGATTTCAAATTCAATTCTTAATTGGCAGAGGAATTGGGTAGTTTTTTTGACAAAGAGGCTTCCAGGCATTACATCATTATTCTGTCTGCAACAGTTATTCATTCATTGGGTTTGTTAGTCCTTACTAAATTTATGGAAACTTAATAAAGACATTAAAATATATTTTACATGTACAGTAGCGTGTTTTCAGAAGCACTACAAAACTAAGTAACGAATTGGCCTGAAGTGTTTCTTTTTTAACGTGGGTTTGCTTAAAAATCTTTTTAAGTATTCACCTTCAGATGAAGATTCTAAAACTCCATTTCTTCCAAAGAAGGAATTATCGATTTCCAATCTTAGATTGCAACTGTGAACTTTAATGTCCTTAAAATATATTTTTAATTGAATTTCTAATCTGCAATGGCTAATCCCACTGAGAATGGAGTTCATAATTTTTCTCAAGAAACATTGTCTGAATTTGCTACAAAAAGAAGAACTTACTTATGTTGAGGTTAGTAAATAGCCCTGTGTGCCCAGTTCACATTTAAGATTCATATTGTCTTTTTCAATCTGCGTGCGTGCGAAGTTGCTTCAGTCGTGTCCGACTCTTTGTGACCCTATGGACTGCAGCCTGCCAGGCTCCTCTGTCCATGAGATTCTCCAGGCAGGAATACTGGAGTGGGTTGCCATGCCCTCCTCCAGGGGATCTTCCCGGCCCAGGGATCAAACCAGCGTCTCTAATGTCCCCTGCGTTGGTAGGTGCTTCTTTACCACTAGCGCCACCTGGGAAGCCCTATTTTTCAATTACTAAATTTAAAAACATACGTTCTTTGTTGTCCTAAAAAAAAAAGACTTTTGTAAAATTAGACATACTTTTCTTCTTAGTGTAGAACACATAATTTCCCTTTAAATTGGTCTCTTGGGATCCAGTAGTATGATAAACCTGGCAGTTTTTCCAGTTATCTGAGCTTCTGGCAGACTGGTTTCCTGCCTGGAGATAGAGACTGGGTGGTAGTTAATGACTGGCATGATTGTAGTATTTAACCTGAATCTTGGTGCTGTGTAAGCTGAACTTTGGAGTTTTCTCCTCACTCTTGCTGATACGTACAACGACCTTTTATACTTAGCCTTAAAGAAAGAGTTCCTGTGGTCTCATGCTGATTACAGAATGCAGACGGCTTAGCTGTGTCAAAGGCACATGAAGATACTTAATTCTTTTCGCTTCTCTCTTCAAACAGATGGCATTTGAAAAAGATAAATATTGTACTTAATGTACACCTGAGAATACATAGAAATGAAATCATTATTATATATCAAGACTCGGCGTTTTTTTTCTCTTAACACTTAAAGTGTATTTTATTATTTGTCGGTAGAAACTTGGAGGGGGCAGGCAGGCAAGAAACAAATATACCTGAAGGATTTCTAGACTAAAAACAGTGATTACTTGATAATAAATGTGGCCTGCTCAAGGTCCCTGTTTCAGCTTCTTTACCTTGAATGATTGTTGAAATCATGTTTTGTAATTGAATTTTCCTTGAAGCTTATATAAGGACCATCTGTTAGAAATATATCAGAGACCCTTTTAAATTATGGGTCTCTGATATATTATAAATTACTGCTACAAATTGTTTTTTTAGCATGTAAACATGAACTCCTTTTGAAAAGTGTGTAAGTTTGGTAACATTTCAAATATCCTTATGCTTAGTGACATTTCCTTTAAAATGTATGTCTTTCAATAAATGATGCCTTAAAGAGAAGGATTGGAAATTGACTTTTTAACCTTTTGACATTTTAAAGAAAAATTCCTTTTGTTAATCTGCATTGGAAGAAAAAGTGAGATCAAGTTGCAATTGTTTACAAAATCTAAATTTTCATGTCCTTATGTAAAATGGATGGGTTTTACCTTCAGGGTTACTTTCATAAAATCATGCAGTTAATGCATGAATTCAGTGTCTAAAAACATGTCCAGGAGGGGTCAACTCAGCTTCTTCTCTAATACTTCCGGTCGAGGGTGCTCACTCCCTTCCTCCATCATGAAACAGTATTTAATTGTCAGGGTCCTGATTGTTCATTATTACGCGCCTGTTTAAGTGGACATTTGACAGACATACAGTGCATCTCTTACTGTCTCATTCAGGAGGAATGTCATGATGGTGACTTCCCTAAAGGCATCAATTAAAACTTACTGCCCAGTATTGTGTGTTGACACCTTGAGGTCTAATTATAACCTCTTGAATAATTCTGTACATTTTTGGTCATCCACCCATATTTCAGTTGGTAAAGTAATTGTGACTGTTACTAAACCCACTCAGACCTTATCCAGATTCTCTAAAAACAGCAGTGGAAATGGACAAATTAGGGTTTTCCAGAATTCTGGGGATTCTGTAGACCAGACTCAAATTTGTTCAGAAATAATTTATCAATGCTTATTCCATGATCTTGGAATTTACATATAGTGAAAGAGGCAGAATTCTCTTTGGAATTAAATATGCAGTGGACTTGATGCTTTAAAGAAATGTATAGGCGGTATTTTTAGAACAAATTCCTCCCATGGTCTCATTCTTATCTAAGGGTGACGTGTGTTCATTGTAAGATAATTTAGAAAATAAGACAAGGAGAAATAAGAACTGCAGTATTTATAATTTCTCTCAGAATTAGTTACTTTTAAGATTCGGGTTATACTTTGAGTCCTTTATTCTATTTCACATATATTGCTTACAAAGAGTGGGATCTTTCCATTCTCACTGGAATCGACTGTAAGAATATTCTATGATCTATAACATGAAACATACTAATATCTTGCTTCTCCTTTCAGGTTATGAACTGCATTACATTAGATATGAATTGTAATAGTTGAACTGTATGTTGTAATAATGAGGGCTAGGTTTCTTCATCCTAAACAACCACATGATATTTGTAAAGTTATTTTCTCTATCTCAGATGAGGATATTTTGCCCACTTCAAATTTCTGGTAGCATTGGGGATATTAGAATGGAAGGAGGACCTCAAACAATTTGATTTCAGACCTTAAACTCAGTTATGGTGATATAGCTGCCTACTGTAGTTATGTTTCCTATTAGATAATGTTTAGCATTTAGGGTCATTTTCAGGTTTTCTTTTCAGTTTGTTAGTTGGTTTGTTTGTTTGTTAGCAAAGCTGTGATAAAAATCTGTGTAGGTAAGTATTTACCTTTGATTTTAGTCTTAGAATATATCCTAGAAATGT